TTTTTCCAAATAAAATTTCATCCTTTAAAGCGGCAATGGATATTTGTTATCCTTATCCAATATTATTAACTTATCTTTATATAAATCTAAATCTATTGAGTTTAAACTATTTTTATTGTTTTCACTATTTGTAGTGTTATTTATATTATTATTTTGGTTTTCATTATTACTATTGTAATTGATGTTATTATATATATTTTCTTTAATTTCACTATTGTTACTAAATGTTTGGGTATCTTTATTATTATTACTATTTACACTATTGTTTTGGGAATCTTTATTATTATTACTATTTACACTATTATTACAATTTTCATTTTTATTATTATTATTGAGTTTATTATATATTAAAGATCTTTGAATTATATTAAGGTTATCAACATTATACAAGTTATTATAAATACTGTTACTGTCATTTAGTTTTAAATGATTTCTTTCTAATACTAAATCCTGTATATTAATATGTTCCATTGAGCGCTTTAATTTAATTTTAACCCAAAAAAAAAAATTAAAAATTTTTAAAATTTTCAAAAAAAAGTAAAAATTTAAAAAAAAATAATTTTAATAAAAATAAATTATAATTTAAATTATATTAAGTTTTCTTTTAATATGATATGAACATTTTATAATAGAAATATTCTAATTTAAAATTTAAATTATTAACTCAATTTCAAACATAATGAAAGCAACAACAACAATAATATAACAATGTTGGTTTTTGACGAGGATGATAAAATGCGCATTATTACCATAATTAAAACAAAACCCTACTCAAATTAATTAATTAAAGGAGATTATCAAAATATTTTACTCTCTGTTATTTTCCCAGAATCTATGAAAGAGGTTACTAAAGATTGGATTAATTAAATATCCATAGATTCGTTTGAGAATAGGTTCATCGGAATTATTACCATAACTCAATCATATTAATAAACATATCAATTAATAACTCACCACAAAATACAATTTAATATTTGTCAAACTTTTAAATTAGAACTCAAAGCAGCAAAAACAATTATTTTATTCAATAAGATCAAAGAGTTATGCTTTTAAAATAAAATATTAAACCTAATACATTGAAGATATTCATAATGTTATCAATTATCATTTCCCAAGAAATTTCGAACAATATAGTCATAAGGTAGGTCGTCCTGGTAGAACTGATAAAGTACAAGAACCAAAAGCATTCAGTTTTCTTTCTACAAATGATGGTTATTTAATTTCAGCTTTTTTCGATTTCTTAAAAGATCAATATCAAACACCATATGTTCGATAGTGACAGTGACAGTAGCAGCAGGGGCAGCAGCAGTATCAGCAGCAGCAGCAGTATCAGCAGCAGAGCAGTATCAGGGGCAGTAGCAGGGGCAGCAGTAGTATCAGGGGCAGTAGTAGCAGGGCAGCAGCAGTAGCAGTAACAGTACAAGCAGCAGGGGTAGCAGGGGTAGCAGGGGTAGCAGGGGTAGCAGGGGTAGCAGGGGTAGCAGCAGTAGCAGCAGTAGCAGCAGTAGCAGCAGTAGCAGTAACAGTAGCAGTACCAGCAGGGGTAGCAGCAGTACCAGCAGGAGAAGCAACAGTACCAGCAGGGGTAGCAGGGGTAGCAGCAGTAGCAGTAACAGTAGCAGTACCAGCAGGGGTAGCAGTACCAGTAGCAGCACCAGCAGGGGTAGCAGCAGTACCAGCAGGGGCAGCAGGGGCAGCAGGGGCAGCAGCAGTACCAGCAGGGGTAGCAGGGGTAGCAGCAGTACCAGTAGCAGTAGCAGTAACAGTACCAGCAGGGGTAGCAGCAGTACCAGCAGCAGGGGCAGCAGCAGCAGTACCAGCAGGGGAAGCAACAGTACCAGCAGTACCAGCATCAGTAGCAGTAACAGTAGCAGTACCAGCAGCAGGGCAGCAGTACCAGCAGCAGTGTGAAGATAGCAACAGTGATAGCAATAAAAAAATAAAAATTAAAAAAGATTAAATTCATTTTTATCGTAAACTAATAATAGCTCTTATGTATTTATTTGAAGGATTTTTTATAAAAAATATTTTAACAATAAATAGTTTTTTATTTTTATCTATAAACAGATTCAATATTTGGGGAATATAAAATTTTTATTTTAAGATTATTAAAAATAAAAAAACATCATTTATTAAATAGATAAATAATATAATTAAATTTTTATTTAATTTTAATTTGTATTTTTGTTTTGATTTATTTAACTACTTTAATAAACTAATTTTAATATAAAAGTATTGTTATTAAAATAAATTATAGTAAAGGAATAGTATCACAAAAAAATCAAGAAAATAAATGAGGTATAAAAAAAAAATGAAAGAAAAGTAAAAATAAATTATTTTTTTATATTAAAATTATAGTTTTTTTATTTTAATATTATTGAAAAAAATAATTTGATTAATGTGGTCTAATTCCCCATTTTATAAATTTTTGAATTAAAGTTTGTTAATGACTGTAAATTTCTAATCAATTTCCTTATTCTTCTTCTTAAAGGGCTTGATAAAATACTAGCTTTTTAACCAATATGTGTTTTTGCCAATCTTAAACACTTACATTCAAAATCAGAATCTAGTCCCTCTTCAAATAACTTTACATTTGTAACACTCCATATTTTGTCTATATAGAGTTCTTTTTGTGTTGTTATTGGAGCTGTAGGTGGTGTTGTTAGATTGGAAATGTTGTTTTTTTTTAAATAACCTTTTAATCAAATTTCTTTGGTCATTTTCCTTTGGGGGATGAAATTTGTTTTTTTTTTTTTTTTGAATTTTCCCCCTTTTTTTTAAAAAAAATTTTATAACTTTTTTTTATTTTGTAATTTTTTTGGTAAATTTTTTTTTTTATAAAAAACATAGTTGAAAAAAAAAAAAAAAAAGAATTTTAAAAGTTTTTGGTTGGAATAAAGGGAAAGAAAAGAAAAGAAAAGAAAAGAAAAGAAAAGAAAAGAAAAAAAAAAAAAAAAAAAATTTATAATGAAATTTTTTTTAAAGATGAAAACTTTTCTTTATATAGTTGATTATAAGGTAATTTGTATAAAAATTAAGTTTGCAAATTATATGATTTTTTCCAATTGTTTTTTTTTTTTTTTAGTATATTATTTTTTTATTTATTAAATTTTTTAAATTTTTTAAATTTTTTTAAATTTTAATTAAAAAAAAATGTGTTTTATAAATTTTTTTTTTTTTTTTTTTAATTAAAAATAATAGCTTTTATAACCACACACACTATTTTACATTTTATATTGCTTTTTTTTACACCAATCAACTTTACCCATAGCATAATATTATTTTATTATATTTTTTTTTTTACCCACCTCACTCAACTTCACTTTTTATTAGATTTGTTTTTTTTGTAAATAATTTTATTTTTAGTTTTTATATTAAAAAAAAAAAAAAAAAAATTAATATATTTTGTAAATAAATTAGTTTATTATATTATTTGTTATTTGTTATTTATTTTTTTGTAAATAATTGTTTGTATATTATATAAAAAAAAAAAAATATATTATTTATTAATAAATTATTTTTATTTTATTTGTAAATAGTAAAAAAATGTTTTATTTTGAAATTTGTTTTTTAGTTTTCTTCATTTTTTATTGGTTTTTAAAAAAAATCAAAAATAACACCACCAAACACTACTACCCAGATGGAACCGAGTATGACGAAGACTTGTTCCTCGACGACGCATTTTATGAGGATTTTCATAAAAAAAATAACCCACCACAACAAAATCCTCAATCACTATCACAACCACAACCAACAAACAACAATAACAACCACAACATAATCCAAGACCAACTATCACAATCGCCCCCACCCCAACAACCACAACCACTATCACAATCACAATCCCAACCACAATCACAATCACAACCAAAACCAAAAAACACTGCATCCACCCCTGATTACAAAAAACTTCTTCAAAATATTCGTGATTACGAAATAGAAGAAGAAGAAGAACAACAACAACAACAACAACAAGAATCACAGCCAAAATCACAACAACAACCAACATTAACAGCCGCTACAGCCCCAACTATTTCAACTGCTGTCAAAAATCCACAGCCATCACCACCTGAGGAAGCCATAAGACGTTTAAATCAACGTTTAGAGCTCTACCAATTAGAGAATCGTAGAGTAATTCCAGGAGATGGCAACTGTCAGATGTACGCCTTATCTGACCAAATTTTTGGAGACTTGGAACATAGCTTGGAAATTAGAAGAGCCATTGCCACATGGCTCATTAAAAATAAGAATCTCACCCTTAAAAATGGTGCAAGAATATCCCAATTTGCCCATACTAAAAATTGGTATAAGTATTGCATCCGAATGGCAAGAAGTGGAACTTGGGGTGACCACTTAACATTAATTGCTGCTGCTGAAGTATATAAATCTAAAATAACAATTATTTCATCAGTCGAATCTGATAGCAGCTTTTTCATTGAAATTGTTCCAAATTCAATTGAAAATGATAGAGCAATTATTTTATCACATCATGCCGAGGAACACTATGGCTCAGTACGTCCAATGATGGTTCAAGACGTAAATTATTAAAATTATAGAAAACTCAGCCAGGTTATATTTTATTTTTAAAGGTAAATAATTATTTTCTTTTTTTTTTATCTTTTATAATTTTTTTATAATTTATTAATTCATTTTTTAATACAATAGATTTCACTATTGTCATAATATTGACATTGGTCTATATATTTCGGTATTAGCTGTACAGCTAATCAATAATTTATAGACAGAAGGGTTTGCTAAATAATCGTATTACAAGTGATAGTTCGCTCGGTGATTCAAATAGTGGTCTAAGCAATGTTTCAAGAAGGGTTCAAGTGGTTCAAGCAATTTAAGTAGTGGTTCAAATGTTGGTCCCAATAATGTTTCAAGTAATCAGTGAAAAGGCTGTGAAAGTAATCGTTCAAGGGGTGGTCAAATGGTCGTTCAAAGGGGTAGTTCGCGTGGGGATTCAAACGGTGGTCAAGAAATTTAAATTTTTAAGTTATATTTATAGTAATCAAATGTGGTTGGCTCAAGTAGCTATATAAAAAGTAAATCAAATGTGGTTGGTTCAAGTAGTAGTTCAAATAGTGTTTCAAATAGTTATTTAGGTGGTGAAGCAAATGCAGTTTCAAGTGGTGTTATATCTATTAGTGATTCATGTGGTACTTCAAATGTTTAATACATTGAATTGTAGGAGTCCAAACAATTTAAATAATAATCGGTCAAGCTAACAAAACCAGATTAAGAACCGAAAACAAAAAAAGAAGTTAAAAGAATAAGGGAATTGAGTAGAGATCTTCGATTTGATAAGTTACTTATAAGAAAGATCAGAATTCGTCAAGAAGTCATAACTTAAGTATGATATCTTTATTTAAAATTTTATTTAATATTAAATTATATATTAATAATCTTTTTATTTTATTTTTTCTTTAAATATATTAATTAACCACCCAATATTATAACAAAACAGTATACCGTAGTTGATTTATAATGCCAATCAATCTCATGAACTATTTTATAAATATCATTAATTTTCTCTGGCCAAGTAATTATGATAGAAATAAAATAGTTTTATGAAGAGAAGGTAAAGAACACAGAAGTTTTCATAGCTATTCATCAAATTAGGTAATATCATACCTCGTCACTTCAAGAAGTCCATTAAACTTTAATTTTCACTCATCATCAAAATAATCACAGCGCAACAATTTATAGATTTAAATCAACTATGGGAGAAATAAGGATTATGAAAAAAACTCACCCTCGATAAACTGGTTATAAAGATCCAGGCACAATTAGACAAATAAATATTTTTATAAACAAATTAAACTAATTTTAATATAAATTTAAAACAATTATAATAAAAAAAATAAAAATTTTTTAAATTATTTTTTTCATTGTTTTATCGTTTATTTTTTATTATTAAAAAAAAAAATAAAAAAAAAAAAAGTTATAAAGAAATAATAAAGACAAAAAAGATAATAACTAATGGGATGTTCCTATCAGCTTTTCTACAAACACTGAAAAAGATGAAATGGAAATTTGATCCAAATTTAATTTTAAATAAATAAATAATAAAGTAAATAATTAAATAAAATTTAATTTAAATTTTAAAAAAAAAATTATTTTCTTTTTCAATTTTATTTTTATTTTTTATTTATTTATTAAATTATTTATTTATTTATTTATTTATTAATTAATTAATTAATTTATTTATTTATTTATTAATTTATTTTTTTATTTATTAATTTATTTATTTATTTATAAATTGTTTATTGTTTGCACATTATAAATTGATCCCACTGAATTAAAAAATGATTTGAGTTTGTCCATTGGTCATCATGCTATCTTGAATAAATTTAACCCCTTTTTATTTAGAGCACCTAAATGCTTTAAATAAAAAGGAGGTTTAAATTTATTCAAAAAAAAAAAGAATTAAAAAACTAAGTACTTTTCTATTTTTACTACCACTACCAGGTTTACCACCATCTGCGTTTTCTATATATATACTATTTTCACTGTTAAAATTTATTTTTACCACTATTCTCTTCGTCCTCTTGATCTTTAATATTTACATTACCATTTTCTAATAATTTGTATTCATGGTGATGATCGTCAATTATAATTGAGGAACTGTTTTTTTTTAAAAATTTGAAATTTTTTAAAGATGAAAACTTTACTTTATATAGTTGATTATAAGGTAATCTGTATAAAAGTTAAGTTCGCAATTTATATGATTTTTTCCAAATGTTTTTTTTTTTTTTTTTAATATATTATTTTTTAATTTATTAAATTTTTTAAATTTTTTTAAATTTTAATTAAAAAAAAAGTGTTTTATAAATTTTTTTTTTTTTTTTTTTAATTAAAAATATTAGCTTTCATAACCACACACACTATTTTACATTTTATATTGCTTTTTTTTTTACACCAATCAACTTTACCCATAGCATAACATTATTTTATTATATTATTTATTTTTTTTACACACCTCACCCAACTTCACTTTTTATTACATTTGTTTTTTTTGTAAATAATTTTATTTTTATTTTTTATATTAAAAAAAAAAAAAAAAAAATAATATATTTTGTAAATAAATTAGTTTATTATATTATTTGTTATTTGTTATTTATTTTTTTTTAAATAATTGTTTGTATATTATATAAAAAAAAAAAAAAAAAATATATTATTTATTAATAAATTATTTTTATTTTATTTGTAAATAGTAAAAAAATGTTTTATTTTGAAATTTGTTTTTTAGTTTTCTTCATTTTTTATTGGTTTTTAAAAAAAATCAAAAATAACACCACCAAACACTACTACCCAGATGGAACCGAGTATGACGAAGACTTGTTCCTCGACGACGCATTTTATGAGGATTTCCATAAAAAAAATAACCCACCACAACAAAATCCTCAATCACTATCACAACCACAACCAACAACCAACAATAACAACCACATCAATATCCAAGACCAACTATCACAATCGCCCCCATCCCAACAACCACAATCACTATCACAATCACAATCACAACCACAATCACAACTAAAACCAAAAAACACAGCATCTACCCCTGATTACAAAAAACTTCTTCAAAGTATTCGTGATTACGAAATAGAAGAAGAAGAACAACAACAACAACAAATATCACAGCCAAAATCACAACCACAACCAACATTAACAGCCGGTACAGCCCCAATTATCTCAACAGCTGCAACTAGTATTAACTCAGGGGCAGTCAAAAATCCACAGCCATCACCACCTGAGGAAGCCATAAGACGTTTAAATCAACGTTTAGAGCTCTACCAATTAGAGAATAGTAGAGTAATTCCAGGAGATGGCAACTGTCAGATGTACGCTTTATCTGACCAAATTTTTGGGGACTTGGAACATAGTTTGGAAATAAGAAGAGCCATTGCCACATGGCTCATTAAAAATAAGAATCTAACCCTTAAAAATGGTGCAAGAATATCCCAATTTGCACATACTTCAAATTGGTATAAGTATTGCATCCGAATGGCAAGAAGTGGAACTTGGGGTGACCACTTAACATTAATTGCTGCTGCTGAAGTATATAAATCTAAAATAACAATTATTTCATCAGTCGAATCTGATAGCAGCTTTTTCATTGAAATTGTTCCAAATTCAATTGAAAATGATAGAGCAATTATCTTATCACATCATGCCGAAGAACACTATGGCTCAGTACGTCCAATGATGGTTCAAGACGTAAATTATTAAAATTATAGAAAATTCAGCCAGGTTATATTTTATTTTTAAAGGTAAATAATTATTTTCTTTTTTTTTTATCTTTTATAATATTTTTTATAATTTATTAATTCATTTTTTAATACAATAGATTTCACTATTTTCATAATATTGACATTGGTCTATATATTTCGGTATTAGCTGTACAGCTAATCAATAATTTATAGACAGAAGGGTTTGCTAAATAATCGTATTACAAGTGATAGTTCGCTCAGTGATTCAAATAGTGGTCTAAGCAATGTTTCAAGAAGGGTTCAAGTGGTTCAAGCAATTTAAGTAGTGGTTCAAATGGTGGACCCAATAATGTTTCAAGTAATCAGTGAAAAGGCTGTGAAAGTAATCGTTCAAGGGGTGGTCAAATGGTCGTTCAAAGGGGTAGTTCGCGTGGGGATTCAAACGGTGGTCAAGAAATTTAAATTTTTAAGTTATATTAATAGTAATCAAATGTGGTTGGCTCAAGTAGCTATATAAAAAGTAAATCAAATGTGGTTGGTTCAAGTAGTAGTTCAAATAGTGTTTCAAATAGTTATTTAGGTGGTGAAGCAAATGCAGTTTCAAGTGGTGTTATATCTATTAGTGATTCATGTGGTACTTCAAATGTTTAATATATTGAATTGTAGGAGTCCAAACAATTTAAATAATAATCGGTCAAGCTAACAAAACCAGATTAAGAACCGAAAATAAAAAAAGAAGTTAAAAGAATAAGGGAAGTGAGTAGAGATCTTCGATTTGATAAGTTAATTATAAGAAAGATCAGAATTCGTCAAGAAGTCATAACTTAAGTATGATATCTTTATTTAAAATTTTATTTAATATTAAATTATATATTAATAATCTTTTTATTTTATTTTTTCTTTAAATATTAATTAACCACCCAATATAATAACAAAACAGTATACCGTAGTTGATTTATTGTGCCAATCAATCTCATCAACTATTTTATAAATATCATTAATTTTCTCTGGCCAAGTAATTATGATAGAAATAAAATAGTTTTTAGGAAGAGAAGATAAAGAACACAGAAGTTTTAATAGCTATTCATCAAATTAGGTAATATCATACCTCGTCACTTCAAGAAGTCCATTAAACTTTAATTTTCACAAATCATCAAAATAACCACAGCGCAACAATTTATAGATTTAAATCAACTATGGGAGAAATAAGGATTATGAAAAAACTCACCCTCAAATACCTGGTTATAAAGATCCAGGCACAATTAGACAAATAAATATTTTTATAAACAAATTAAACTAATTTTAATATAAATTTAAAACAATTAAAATAAAAAAAATAAAAATTTTTTAAATTATTTTTTTCATTGTTTTATCGTTTATTTTTCATTATTAAAAAAAAAAAAAAGAAAAATATGCTTTTAGGTTTCACTTAGGAAGGGGATGTGTAATGAATAAGGACAATTACTTTATAATAATCAACAGAGTTATTATTTTGATCAGCAACATACTCTTTTCTTTTTTTACATTTATTTTTTTTTTTGATTTTTGATTTTTTTTTTGTAAAAATATTTTTATTAATATTTTGTATTATTTATTTATTTATAATTAATTTATTTTTTTATTTTTTAATTTATTTATTTATTTATTTATTTATTTATTTATAAATTGTTTATTGTTTGCACATTATAAATTGATCCCACTGAATTAAAAAATGATTTGAGTTTGTCCATTGGTTATCATCCTGTCTTGAATAAATTTAACCCCTTTTTATTTAAAGCACCTATATGCTTTAAATAAAAAGGAGTTTTAAATTTTTTCAAAAAAAAAAAAAGAATTAAAAAACTAAGTACTTTTTCTATTTTTACTACCACTACCAGCTTTACCACCATCTGCGCTTTCTATATCTATACTATTATCACTGCTAGATTTATTTTTATATATTAAATTTATATAAAATTATAATATCTCCACTTTTTCCGTAAAGGAGTCGAAATTCTCATATCTCAAGAAATAGCGCATGTGGTCTAGTGGTATGATGCATCCCTGCCACGGATGCGAACTGGGTTCGATTCCCAGCATGCGCAAAAATTTTTTAAGCACTTTTAATCTTTCAGGTGATTTAAATTTAAATTTTGAAGTTGGGGAGAAAGCTATGAAAATAATGGTGATTGCCACTACCATCCATTGGTTCTTCACTTTTTTTTTTAAAAAACCTTCTATTGAAATAGTTATACACACCAATCAAAACCACTCCACACAAATCAGTCCTAAATCAAAGAAAAAAAAAACTTCATAAAATGGACAGGTTGTTTCAACCTTACCCCAACCCTTACTACTTCTTATAATTTTATATAAATAAAATACTATCACTTACTTTAATTTTTATTATTAAGTTTGTTTTTTAAAAAAAAAAAATTGTTTGAAGAAATATTAGAACAAAATTATAATATATTTTAAAAATATAAAGAATTTTATTTAAATTATAATAATATTTTAAAAAAAATTAACAACAACAGTTAAGGTTTGGGATAGGTTGGATTTTTGGGATTGGCTTAATTTCGGGAATTGGTGGGCAACAAACTGTTAAGCATGGTGGGCAACATTCAGATTTTGATGAGATTGAATTCCCACCGAATGAATTGGTATTACCACCTGAAACTACACTTTGTTTCATTAATGTACCAGAGTTTCCTAAAGATGTAATTGAACCTAAATATTATAATATAAAAGTTATTAAAAAATTATTTTATAAATATTAAAATTTTTTTATAAACATACTAAAAATCATTTTTATAAAATAATATAAAAAATAAATTTTTTTTTTTTTATTTATAGTTTTTTAATGAAAAAAAATACTTATTATTCATACTAATAATTCAGAATACAGATTATCTAATTTAAAAAAATTAAAGATTAAAAACTAATGATTAAATAAAAAAACAATAAAAAAATTAAGTGGACCATTTTAATTGAATAAACAAAAAAAAAAGTTTTATAACCAATGGTGCATATTTAAATATACCCATTATTTTTTATTTATTAAAAAGTTTAATATATTGTATTTTGAAATAGAAAACAATAGTTCATTATTGTTATTGGTAATATATACACAGTTGTTGCTATTGTTGTTTAATAGGCTATTATAAATTTCATTTAAATTTGAATCTAATTTGAAATTATTATTATTACTATTACTATTTTGTTGTAAAATATTTTTAATTGATCCATTATTATAATTTAATAATAAACTATCAATAGTTATTGACCCTAAATATTTATTATCATTTGATAAAACTGGTATTTGTGAATTATCTTTAAATAAATCTAAAAGATTTTGGTCTATATTGGCGTCAACACTAACTGAGATGGGTTTCTTTAAAGGTTCATTAACTAAATTTAAAAAGTCCAATACTAATAAATTGTTTAACTCTTCTCTTTCCATTTTGCCATTACCGCTACTGTTATTATATATATTATTATTGATTTGATTTTTTTCAATGAAACCATTTTCCAATAACCAATGATTGCTTAAATGTTTTGTCATATAGTTTCTTATTGTATCTGGTAAAATAACAATACAACGTTGTCCTTTCTTTAATTGTGAAGCAGCTTTTAAAGCACCAACCATTGCCGAACCTGAAGAACCACCGCATAGCAAACCTTCTTCTCTAATTAAACGACGAGCCATTAAAAAACTTTCTGCGTCATCAGTTTTAACCCATTGGTCAATCAGAGACCTATTTAAAACTCCTGGAATAAAATTATGCCCTATACCTTCGATTTTATAGGATTTTTCTTCACAATTTAAAGATGAAGGTTGAGCAACTTTGGAACCTACTGGATCAATACCCACAATTATGCAATTTGGTAGTGTTTCTTTAATTCTTTTAGCTATACCTGTTATTGTACCACCTGTTCCTACACCGCAACATATCATATCTATTTTTCCATCACATTGCGCTATTAGTTCTTTTGCAGTTGATTCGTAGTGTGCCTCTGGATTAAAATGGTTATTGTACTGATCTAAAACAAAGCTGTTTGGTATTTCCTTATTTAACTTTTTAGCTAAACCAAAGTGACTTTCTTCAGAATCATGCGATGCATTATTATTGGTTCTATAAATCTCCACACCCAATGCATTTAAAACATCCAACTTTTCAATTGACATTCTTTCTGGTATTGTAATTATCATCCTATAACCTCTTATAGCTGCTACTATAGCCAGTCCAATTCCTGTATTACCTGATGTTGGTTCGATGAGTGTTGTTAAACCTGGTTTAATTTTATTCTCTTTCTCTGCTTCATTGATCATCTTTATTGCAATTCTATCCTTTATAGAACCACCACAATTAAAATATTCACATTTTGCCACTGTGTTATATAAATATAATTAATATTTAAATTGAACTTTTTGATGATTAATCTATTAAAACCTATAATACCTACATATTTCGCAATCCAATGTATTGATTTTATTAATTTTAACAATTGGAGTATTACCAATTGTTTCTAAAATATTTTGATATATGCTCATTAGTTTGTTATTTGGTTTTCTATGATATAATAAACTATTATCATTATTATATTATTTATTTTGAAAGAAAAAAATAAATTTTAAAAACACAAAAATAAAAAAATTTAAAAAAAAAAAAATAAAATAAAAAAATTATTTTTGGGAAGAGATATTTTTAAACAGTCGGCAAGCGATTATTATTTAATAATATCTATTTTAAGATAATTAATAATAATTATGGTTTATTATTATAAATTCTTATAATTAACATGTAAAAATAATAATAATTTATGTATAAAAAAAAATTTATTTCATTTTTAATTTTTTGGGTTTTAAGGTTTAGCATTTGGATGATTAAATTTTTATTTTTTAATATTTTTGTTAAATTAAAAAAAAAATTTTATAGAAATTTTTTTTTATTTATATTTTTGTTAAATTAAATTAAAAAAAAAATTTTTAAGAAATTTTTTGAAGTGATTATATTTTTTTTAACTGCAACAACAAATAACAACCACTATAAAATTATAACAAAAATAAAAATAATTCTATTCAATGACATTAAATGGTAAAAAAAAAACTTAAATTAATTAATATTTACTTTTATTTTAATTAATATTTTTTTTTTTTAATCTAGGTAAATTTTATGATTCATATGCTGATGAAGCATCGTGCAGACCAATTTCAAAATTTAAACTTGAAGATGAACCCAATGACCCAGAAGTTATAAAGAATTTAATTTTAGATGAACTATTACTAGATGTTAATGGAAAACAAAATTTAGCAACATTTTGCCAAACTGATCTCGATAAAAATATACACGAATTAATGGATAAGTGTATTGATAAAAACATGATAGAAAAAGATGAATATCCACAAACTGCAGAGATAGAGAATAGATGTGTCAACATTATTGCTGATTTATGGAACTCACCAAATCCTACAGATACTATTGGATGTTCAACTACTGGTTCAAGTGAAGCTGCAATGTTGGGTGGCTTAGCATTGAAATGGAGATGGAGAGAACAAAGAAAGAAAGAAGGTAAACCAACAGATAAACCAAATTTAATTACTGGACCAGTTCAAATTTGTTGGCATAAATTTGCACTTTATTTCGATATCGAATTAAGAGAAATCCCAATGGAACAAGATCGTTACTTAATGACACCTGAAGAGGTTTTGAAAAGAGTCGACGAGAACACCATTGGTGTTGTACCAACTCTAGGTGTTACCTTTACCCTCCAATATGAAGATGTAAAGAGTATAAGTGATGCATTGGATCAATATCAAAAAGAAACTGGCATCAACATTCCCATCCATGTCGATGCTGCTAGTGGTGGTTTTGTTGCTCCATTTATCCAACCAAATATCATTTGGGACTTTAGACTACCCCGTGTAAAGTCCATCAATGGATCAGGTCACAAATATGGATTATCACCATTAGGTGTAGGCTGGGTTGTATGGAGAGAAAAAGAAGATTTACATAATGATTTGGTTTTTGAAGTCGATTATTTGGGTGGATTAATGAAAAATTTTACATTAAACTTTTCAAGATCCGCAGGTCCTATCGTTTCTCAATACTATAACTTTATTCGTCATGGTAGAAATGGATTTGCAAAAATTCACAATGCCTGTGTTGGTCATGGTGTATTTATAGGTGAACAAGTTAACAAACTAGGTATTTTCGATATCATTTATGATGGTAAAACAGCTCTCCCAGGGGTTGCATGGACTTTAAAGAAGGATGCAAATGTTAATTTCAATTTATACGATCTTTCTGAAAGAATGAAGATTAGAGGATGGCAAGTTGCTTCATATTTATTAAAAATTGTTGAAAAAAACATTGTTATTCAAAGAGTATTAGTTAGACATGGTTTTAGTCGTGATATGGCCCAAATATTTATTGATGATCTAATTCGTAGTATAGATCATTTACAAAAACATCCATTAGTTTCAAAAACTAATCATACTGACTGTCAAAGCTCCATTAAAAAATCAATTTAGTTTAAATTTTTTTTTTTGAAAAACTATTATTTAATTTTCTTTTTAAAAAATAAAAGTATCTATAATTTATTTTTTAAAAGGATAAAATCTGCATTTATTTATCAATTTTTTTTGATTTACTGATTTATTTATTATTAATCATCTATGAACATTTGATTCTTAGTATTCTTTTGAAATTCACTATTTGTTGGATGTTTGAGAGTGAATTAAAATTAAACATCCAATCCAGCCCCAGTATTTGCATTTTGGTGGAGAAATGTTTTTTTTTTTTTTTAATGATGGATTAAAAATTCAGATAAGGCTTGTCTACTCCGCATTTTTTTGCATATAAATTTATTAGAAGAAAACAATGTGTTTATAAAAAAGAATGAAAATATAAAATTTAAAATATAATAAAAAAAAAATCTATTTAAATTTTAAGATATTTATAAAGATATTAATAAAAAAAAGAAGTTAAATCCTCTTGTGCTACTTATTTTTTTAAGTCTCATAAATTCACAATTTTGTGTTTTGACACTTAACATTTAAAAAAATATCCAACATTATTTTCACAATTTTGTGCATTAGACACTTTACTTTTTAAAAAAAAATAAAAAAATTTTTTATAAATATCAGATTTTAAAATTTTTTATTTTTATCAAAAACAAAAAATTAAAACACAAATAAAATGAAATTTTTTATTAATGTAATTATAATTTTAATAGTATGTGCTGCTTCATTTATCAATTGTCAAGAAGCTCCAATTGTTAAAGCATACAGACCAACTGCTGAGGGAGTTGAAGGACAAGCGGTAGAAGGATGGACTATATTTGGTTATAATTTCGATTTAAAACAACTCAACACAGAATTTAAAATTGGTACCTATCAATATGCCTCAACATTTAATACCGTGAGAAACCAAAGTGCTATTCTTTTCAATAATTTGTTTGACTATAAACCCCCAGTATTCAAAATTGGTGAATCATTCACAATTACAGCCAATATTGCCTATAAAGATATAGTTTCACAACCAATATCATGTAAATATCAAGAAGCAAGTTATCTTAACACCAAAAAAGATGTAACTGTTGCCTTTGACAAAAAAGGAGGTAAAACTAAAATCGCCGGTTCATTCGCTGATTTAGATATTTCCAAATATCAAGTATTACTTAAAGATATCGAATTTAAAGTAACAGCAATTGATAAAAACTCTATTACTGTTCAATACCCAGAATTTAAAGGAGAATTTTTTGGTTTTGATTTAACACTTTTTATAATTCATAAAGAAGTTTGTATTTACGATCAAACTGAAAATATTATGATTGAAGAATATTTAGATCCAATCTCTGCTGAAGAACCACCTAGAAGCGAAGAAGACTCATCCAAAGGTAGTAATCCAGGCTCTACACATGCACCCACATCCTCTGGTGAAAATGTTGATGAACCCTCCGATGCATTTAAATCATTTTCAATACCATCAATTGTAATTGTTACCATTTGTTTAATACAATTGTTCTTTTAAATAAATTAAATTAAATAAAAACCTTTTATTATTATTTTAAAACTATACAAAAAATTTTATTATATATTTGATTTCTTTTTTTTTAATTCTTAATATTATTAAATTATTTTTTAATTTTTTTAATATTAGCAGCTTCTGAAGATTTAACAAGATTGATAACGGAATTTGATAAACCACGAGCACAAGTTACTAATTGTTCTTCAGCAGTTGGGTCATTAAAGTCATTTGATTTTACAGCGCATAAAATTTTTAATTGTGTAGAGAAATTACCACCACAATCGCAATAGGTTAAAACATTTTGTTTTAATCTTGCGTCTGAACAATTATCAGCAATATGCTTAGCTTGTTGTTGTACTTGTTTGATGGTATCAGCAATCTTACGTGCAGCCATAATCATACCTTTAACATCACCTTGAGCAGCAAAACTACTGATAAGAGCCATTTGTTGAGCAATTTCATCAGATAATTGAACTAAAATACCGAGTGGTGTACCATCACGAACTTTACTTTGAAGAGCATCTTTGACTTCTTCGGCAGCAACATATACAGCTTTATTAACTGGACCTTCTGGGATATTGAATTTTGGTGCACGTTTTCTTTCTTCTTCTTCAGCAGCAAGACGTCTCTTTTCTTCTTCAGCAGCAGCAATACGTTTCTTTTCTTCAGCTTCCATTTTAGCTAATTCTGCAGCATGAGCAGCAGCACGAATTCTAGCTTTTTCTTCAGCTTCAACTCTAGCCAACTCTTCGTTTCTCTTTCTCTTTTCTTCTTTTAATTCATCAGAAGTTGGTTGAATAACTTGAGCAAGAGTGCTACTGGCTTCTTTGACTCTGCTGATAACATCTTCTAATCTTCTACGAGCTTCTTTATCGTTTGGATCGGCTAAACATGCTTTAATTGATTCTAAGAGTTGTGGAGTAAGTTTCTTGAGGTTTTCAATGGCTTCTAAAACTTGTCTCTTACGTTCTGGATCAGTAATAGTTTGAGCATATTGTTCTGCGGCTTCAATTTGTTTCTTGATATGATTGGCAATATCTTTAGCATATTGAACACCTTTGTATTGCATCTCTGGACCACCTTCATCAATACATTTAAGAAGATTATCGAGATCATTGTGAATTTTAGTATTGAGTGCTGAAACAATTTCATATGGTTGGGAGATTTGACCAATGGCTGATTTGGCTTCTTTAATATCTGATGATAATTGTTTACGAGCTTCGTGATCATTTGGATTATCAATAGCTTTTCTGGCATTGCTAATAATTTTTGGTTTAAGGGTTTCTAACTTAGCAATGGCAGTCTTTATTTGATGACGTTGACCTGGATCGGTAACACTTTCTAAGAGGGCATTGGCTAATTCGATATGTTTATCGATGGCAGTTGGGATATGTGAAAGTAAAACTTCAGCACGTTTCTTATCACCTGCAGCGATAGCCTCTTCGAGTGAGTCGAGCTCTCTAGCTAATGAAACACCAGATGCAGCAACGATTTCAGCTGGATTTGAAACAACAGCGGTAGTAAGAGCTTCTGAAGCTTTTTGTGTGGCGAAAATAACATTATCTAAATGTCTCTTGGCTGCTTCATCATTTGGATTTTCTAATACTGGTTTCATTGCTTGAATTAATTGTGGAGTTAATTTCTTAAGATCTTCAATTTGTTTTAATAACATCTTCTTTTTAACTGGATCTTGACAACGGTTTGCAACAATGATAGCATTTGAAATTTGAAGATTGGCATTGTTAACAATTTCTCTAGCTGCAGCAGCACCATTACCCATTTCAATTTGTTTTGGAAGAGTACGGAGATTATCAACTAATGCTGCACCAGCACGATTAACTTCATCTTCAGCCATTGTACGAATTGGTTTCCATTTGAATGCTAAATCTACAAACTTGGTATTGGTTTCGAAAATTAATTTGATTGTATAAATTAAATCATCGATTGAACCTAATAATTTTGAAGAGAGTTCTGAACGCTTGGATTTTAAAACTTCATCTCTTGGATTGCCGCATACTTGGCGTGCTGAAGCTTGATGTTGCTCACTAAGAATATTAACCATTGTTGCAATATCTTCAAGTTTTGAACGAAGCTCTGGATTGTGGCTACCCTCTGAACGACGTTGTGATCTTTTGACTAATTCACCTTGTAATTGATTAACATCTCCAACCATAATCTCTAATTGTTTAATATTTTCAATTTCATCAATTCTCTTTACACCTTCTGCTGCTTTCTTTGCAATATTTACTAATACTTTAATATTTGATTGTTCTTCAATTAATACTAATAATACAACATTTTGTAAAATTTCTTTGGCTGCTTTAATTGCATCTTTTTGTGGAGTTCTATTCCATGGATCTTCTCTAGCACGAACAGCATGAACATATAATTGGCCTGCTGAATTCTTTAATTTCTTTGATGTACCTTCTAATTGATATTTAAATTCATCATCAATTAATGTTAATGTTTCTTCTGCAGCCTCTGCCATACCATTAACTGCTTGTTGAATTAACTCTACACCTGGTACCATATCCTAAAAATATAAAATTTATAAAAATTAAATTAATTATTTGTTTTTTAAATATTTGTTTTTTTTTTTTTTTTTTTTTTGTTTTACTTACACCAAAAAGAGTATTCTTTTCTTCACTATCAGTTATAGCAATAACTAATGATGATACGGCATCAGCAATCATTTCTAATACTTCATCCATTTTATTTTATATATGTAATTATTATTATTATTATTTGAGAAATAATCTCTGTATATTCTGTAGCGGTGTTGATTTCTTAATTTAAAATTATATTATTTTTATAATCTATGAATACAAATACTATTTTTTATTATTATTGAATTATAAAATAGAATTAGTATTTAAATATATTGAAGAAAGAAAAAAAAAATATAAAATATAAAATATAAAATATAAAAATAAAATAAAAAAATAAAAAAAAGAAAATATAATGAAAAAAAATTTAATTGGTTTTTTTTTTCAAACAAAATTAAAATAAATCATATTTAAAATGGGTTTTTGTTATTTCTTTGTGTGTGTGTGTTTTTTTATGTGTTGTTTTTAGTGTGGTGTTAAATATATTTAGCTTTTTTTTTTTTTTCTAAAAACAAAGATAGAGTGGGGGTGGGGATGTCACTTTTATTATTATTATTGTTATTTTTGATTTTATTGGGGTTTGATAATCAACACACCCAATCACTCCTACAACATTTATATACAAATAAGAACACACTAGTGAACAAATTATATTTCACTTCATAAAAAAAAAAAACAAATTTAGATTCACTAAACAAGATTGATGATGATTGAATATTATTTAATGTATTGAAATATATATGTAATATGGTAATAATAATAATAATAATAAATACTATTAACTATTTAAACATAAAATACCGTTAAATTTTATAAAAGTGTGTAATGTTTTTTTTTTTTTTCTTATTTTAAAAACAAAGAAAAATTTTACTTACAGTTACACTGTGATTAATTTTAAATTTTCACAACAATAACTTTTTAAAAAAAAAAAAAAGGAAAATTTTTTTTTTTTATGATACTATTTTACAATGTGGTAAATAAATAAAAATAACTTGAAAAAAAAAAAAATTTTAAATATTTTATATTTATATTTTTTTAGTTTTGTTTATAACAGCTGAATTGTTTAATTGAAAAATCTTTTTTTTTTTTTTTTGAAAAAAAATAAAAATATATTTTGAAAAAAAAAAAATTAACAACAAAAAAACTATTTTTTAGTTAAAAACCCAAAATTATCATTATCATTTTATGAAAATTATCAATGGAAATTATTATTTGAAAACCAATTTTAAAAAAAATAAAAAAAAATAAAAAAATAAAAAAAAATAAAAAATAGGTTTTTTTTTATAAAAATAAAAAAAAAAATAAAAAAAAAAGTTAGTCCTGTTTTTTTTATTTTTTTTTTTATAAAATTATTTTTTTATAAAATTGATTTGTTTTCTTTGAATTGATTTTAATGATAATATTAAAAATAAAATTTATTTTATTTATTGATTTGTTGTTTTCCAGTTTGTTTAGGTAATTTACTATTTTGGTCGTTAAAATCTTTTTCTTTATAAAAATGAGGAGCGATTTCAGGGAGCCAAGAGGGTTGGATTTCGATTACTTGTCTCATAAATTCTTTTGTTGTTAAAACCAATTCGTAATATACGACCCATTTTGGAGGATTTTGGAAAAGACAGGATGATGGATGAATTTGTACACTTTGATTATGTTTTGTGGTTCTGAAGAGACCTGTTTTTTCTAAACGAGCAGTATTATAAAAGTAACCTGAAGCAACACATTTTCTAATCGAATCGGTATCTTCAATGTTTGATTCTAATGGTATTTCGACACGATCCAATAATAATTCTAATTGATCACGTACATCTTGAGCACGTTTCATTGAACGATGTTGAATGAAATTTTCAAAACACCATTGAATTGCAAAACCTGATTCACGCCATTGATTATAAACATTGAGTAGTGTAAGATGGTCGCCTTGTGGGTGGAAAAAGTTTTTACGTGCTGCATCGGCTGCAAATGCTTTGTCTTTGGGTCGATAGAAAATAGTATTACCAACACTTAACATTGCGCAAACTGTTAAAATTTCTTCACTACATTTATATTTTTCACTTGCAATAATCATTTTAGATAATTGTGGATCGACTGGAAATTCTGCCATTCTTCTACCTAATTTAGTTAATTGACCTCTATCGTTCAATGCACCCAATGCATAAAGCTGCTCGAGTGCAGACATAAGGGTTTGTGCTGGTGGTGGGTCCATGAAATCGAAATTAACCAAATCGTCGATACCCATTGATTTTAATAATAGAACCACATTACCTAAATTTGTACGCTGAATCTCTGGTATTGTATTATCTTCCAACTCATGATCGAATGCCCATTCGGTGAATAATCTAAAACATTTACCTGGTGCGACACGACCTGCTCTTCCTTTTCTTTGATTTGCAGAGGCTTTACTGACAGGTGTGATGACCAAAGACTCCATACCAGTACGTGGGTTATACATTTTTTGTTTACAAAATCCAGGGTCAATGACATAAATAATATTATCGATGGTTAGTGAGGTCTCTGCAATGTTTGTGGCCAATACTACTTTTCTGGCGTTTGGTGGTGTTGGTTCAAAGATTTTAGCTTGTAAATCGGTTGGTAGTGTTGAATAAATTCTTGTTATAACTAATTCTTTGATTTTGGTACCCAGACCACGGGTTCTTTGTTGTAACATCTCTGCTGCTTGATCTACCTCTTCTTGACCTGTTAAAAAAACCAAAATATCACCAAGTGGTTCTGTAATATGAATTTGTAATACTGTAACTACTGCTGCATCTAAATAATCTGCTTCTGGAGCTTGAGTATAGTGAGTTGCCACTTCGAATTTACGACCTGGAATATTGAATGTAGGTGCACCATCGAAATAATCAGAGAATCTTTCCGCATCCATAGTAGCTGATGAAATTAACAACTTTAGATCTGGTCTAAATCTTGCTATATCTTTTAATAAACCAAATAAAATATCAGTGTGAAGAGTACGTTCATGTGCTTCATCGATAATCAATACGCTATAGGTTGCCAAGTCTGGTGATGTTAAAAATTCTCTAACCAACATACCATCAGTCATATATTGAAGTATAGTTTTTGGTGATGTGCAATCTTCAAAACGAATAGAGTATCCAACTTCATTACCCAATTTAACACCCATTTCCTCAGCTACACGAGCAGCTACAGACATTGCAGCTACTCTTCTTGGTTGTGTGCACCCAATTTTACCAGCTTTTGAAAAGCCAGCTTCATGAAGGTACTGCGGTATTTGAGTGGTCTTGCCTGAACCTGTTTCACCAACAATAATTAGTACTTGATGGTCGTGTACTGCTTGAATCAACTCTTCACGATATGGAAACACTGGTAATGATTTTCTAACTTCTTGAATAGTCATTTTCGATTGCTCCTTCATTTCCAATGGTTTAGCACCATCACCAGCCGCATCCACGTCTTTCTGTTTACTTGATAGCTTTTCTTCTTTTATAAACTCTATTTGATCTTCAAATACATATTCATACTCTTGCTCTTGAGGTTGAGATCGCTTTGAACCATATTCAGTTTGGGTAGCTTTCAATCTATTGTCCATCCACTCTTTTTGCTCTGGATTGAATGTTGATTGTGCCGCAGCAGTCTTATTACTTTCGTATTTTGGCTTCATTACTTCATCACTCGATTTTTCTGATGGCAATTGATAATAAGATACATCATTGTTATCATTAACTCTTTGACTTGTTAATTCATATAGTTTCTTTTTTTTTTCGAATTCTCTAATTTCTTCTGCAGTTAGTTTTTGATCTTTAAATAGTTCATATTCAAGTTCAATTTCTTTCTTCATCAATATTAATCTCTTTTGCTCTTCACCAACTAAATATTTTCTTCTAGATTTAACTCTTTCACTCTCTAATTGCTGGGATTGATCTAACTTCTTTTTTCTTTCAATTGATTCTTTAGTTTCAGAGTCATCATGAACTTTTTTCTTTGTTGATTTATCATCTCTTTTTTTTAATCTTTCATTAAATTCTCTAATTTCTCTTTCTTCTTTTTCATACTCATCCTCAACTTTATTATTATTATTATTATTATCATCATCTGTATTTTTATTATTACGTGCTGGTTCCTCTATAATTTGTTTATGTGGTTGTCTTTCATTCGATCTTGATCTTGACCTAGGTTTATTTCTATCATTCGATCTGCTTCTACTCCTTGCTCTTTCTCTAGTATCTCTATTTCTATATGAATCCCTATTATCTCTCGAGTCTTTGGAGCTGTATCTATCTCGACTATCGCCTCTTTTCCTATCTCTTGAATCTCTCGAGTCATATCTATCTTTGCTTCTACTCCTGCTACGACTTCTACTATGGTTTCGGGTTTCTCTAGAGTCTCTACCACTGTATCTTCCACGCTCACGTTCTCTTTCTCTATCAAACTCTTCTCTTTCTTGTTTATTGAAAGCAACCTTGGTGTCATCGTCTTCCCATGCAGTTGATTTTCTAGTTGATCTCTTTTTCTCTTTTTTTTCTTTCTTTTCTTTCTTCTTTTTCTTCTTTTCTTCATCGCTACTACTACTATTTACAAAATCATCTTTATCGATAACTAATTTATATGATTGGTTCTTTTTTAAATAATCGATTTTTTCTTTTTCTTTTTCTTTCAATGAAATTTGTGGTTGTTTTTTAGATTTGGTTATATTTTGAATTTTTTCATTTCCGTTCATTATTTTTTTTTTATTATTTATATTATATACAATTTGAAACGAAAAATGAAAAAAAAAAAAATATATTTGTATAAAAAGTATATAAAATTATTTAAATGAACCCTTTTATGAAATTTTCACAAAAAAAAAAAAAAACTTTAAATTCAATTTATTTTAAAAAAAATAAAAAAAATAAAAAAAAAATTAAAAAAAATAAAAAAAAAATTAAATTTTATTTTTCATTTTTTTTTATTTTATAATTTTTATAAATAATATTTTTAAATATAAACACACAGATATATATTTATATAATATCTATAGTTTATATATATTATACTATAATAAAATAAAATAATATTTTTTTATAATTATAATGGATAATTCATCAATTGATAGAGATTTACTTTATGAAATTGGTGAAAAAATATCGAAATCATTAAATTTACCCAGCAACAACCAAACACTAGCAATTAGGATCTACAATGAAGCTAATAAATCATCAAATGTAGACTCATTTATAGATTCCTGTAAAGAATATGGTATTAAAGATTCATCAGTAATAGATAATATTTTTAATAATGTTAAAAACAAATCAAAACAAAATAGTAATAACAATAGTAATGGCAATGATGAACCACAAGAAAGAACATCTCTAGCTTTTACTGTTGGAAGCAAATCTGTATCTCAAGAGCCATTACCACAAACTATGGTTGGCGGTTTAGTTAAAAGAAATAATAATAACGAAAGTGTAAGTTGTTAAAATTTAACCTCTTTTATTATTTTTATTGTCTACTAACATTTTTTTTATTAATTTTAGGGTTTTAAAGTGCCTCAAGTAAGAGCCTCAGTTTTAGGTTTAGATAGATTGGCTAAAGAAAAAAGGGAAGAACAAGAAGAAAAAAAAAGATTGGAGCAAGAGAAAGAGAAAGAAAAAGAGAAAGAAAAAGATAAAGAGGATGATGATGAAAAACATTTTAAAAAGCCAGAAAAAAACTATAGAACTATAAAATCAACACCAACACACTATAGTACAGATAATAGCTATAATGAAAGAAACAGAAGAGAAAATAGAAACTATAGGGATGACGACGAACCAAGAAATCGTGGTGAATCAAGAGATCGTGGTGAGTCAAGAAATCGTGGTGAGTCAAGAGATCGTGATGACTCAAGAAATCGCAGTGAATCAAGAGGTCGTGATGACTCAAGAAATCGTGGTGAATCTAGAGATCGTGATGACAGGAGATATCGTGATGATAGGAATAGGGATGATTTTAATAGACAACGTGATGATAGATCCTCAAGAAGGGATGACTACAGACGTGATGATAGAGGTGAAAGAACTCCAAATAGAGATGATAATAGACAACGTTCATACAATAATAATAATTATGATAGAAATGATAAAACTCCATATAGAGATGATAATAGACGTTATAATAATAACAATAGTAATAACAACAATAATGATAGATATAATAGAAATGAAAATAGATCAGAAACACCACAAAGAAGAGAAGATTTTTCAAATAGAAGAAATTATAGAATGGATCAAACCCCAAGTAGAGACAGATTAAAAGATAATTTTGAAGAAAAGAAATCAACCAATACAGGTCCATCAGATACACCTTTTAGAACACCATCACATCAATATAATTCATGGTCAAGAAACCAACAACAACAACAACAAAACAAAAGCAAACATTCAAAAGAAGAGCAAGAAGAGATTGAAGAGTTTGATAGAGATTACTACGATGCCGATGAGGGTGAAAGTGGGTTTCAAGATCATTCAGGCAATGGCGGGTTTGTCGGTGATGAAAAGAAATTTAAAAAAATGGAAGAGGAGTTTGTGAGAACACAGAAAAAGAAATTATCAGCAAAACAAAATCAAATTAATGAAGATAATTCAAGATGGGAAACAAATAGATTAATGCAAAGTGGTGTCGTACTTCAAAATGAAATCGATTTGGACCATTTACAAGAAGAAGATGAAGGTAGAGTAAATTTAATGATACACAACACAGTTCCACCATTTTTAGAGGGTCAAAATGTTTTAACCAAACAACAGAAAGCAGTACAAACAGTTAAAGATCCAACATCAGATATGGCTATAATTAGTAGAAAGGGAAGTCCACTTATGAAAGAGTACAGGGAAAAAAGAGATCGTATAAAGAGTCAAAAAAAAGTTTGGGAATTGGGTGGCACTGCGATTGGTAATATTATGGGTGTTAAAACTGAAGATCAAAAAGAAAAAGAAGCTGGCCTAGCTGATGAAATTGACCAAGAAACTGGTGAAGTTAAAAACTATAAAGCTCAATCACAGTTTGCATCACATTTATCATCAGAAAAAAAGACTGGCGATAATGGTTCCAGCGAGTTTTCACGTACCAAGTCAATTAAAGAGCAGCGTGAGTTCTTACCAGTATTCTCTTGCAGAAATGACCTAATGAAGATCATCAGAGAAAACAACATTGTTATTATTGTTGGTGAGACTGGGTCTGGTAAAACAACTCAATTAACCCAGTACCTCTACGAAGAAGGTTATGCCTCATTTGGTAAAATTGGATGTACACAACCAAGAAGAGTTGCTGCAGTTAGTGTAGCTAAAAGAGTTTCAGAAGAAATGGGTGTTACTTTGGGTGAGGAAGTTGGTTATTCCATTCGTTTCGAAGATTGTACAACTAAAGATACAGCAATTAAATATATGACCGATGGTATCTTATTAAGAGAGTCTTTCAATGACCCAAATTTAGATAAATATTCAGCAATTATTATGGATGAAGCTCACGAACGTTCATTAAACACTGATGTGTTATTTGGTGTATTAAAAAAAGTTTTAGCAAGACGTAGCGATATGAAATTAATTGTTACCTCAGCAACCATGGACTCTAAAAAGTTTTCAATGTTTTTTGGTGATGTGCCAGTATTTACTATTCCAGGCAGAACTTTTCCAGTCGATGTATTGTGGAGTAAAACTCCCTGTGAAGACTATGTAGATAGTGCAGTAAAGCAAATCTTATCAATTCATGTTACTCAAGGCGAAGGTGATATATTGGTATTTATGACGGGTCAAGAGGATATTGAAACTACCTGTGCTACAGTCGAGGAGCGTATTAAACAGTTGGGTTCTTCTGCACCACCACTTACATTATTACCCATCTATTCTCAATTACCATCTGATATGCAAGCTAAAATCTTTGAAAAGGCCGACAAAGGTTCAAGAAAATGTATTATAGCTACCAATATTGCAGAGACATCCTTAACTGTAGATGGTATTCTTTATGTAATCGACACTGGCTATTGTAAACTAAAAGTATATAATCCAAGAGTCGGTATGGACTCTCTCCAAGTCACACCAATTAGTAAAGCCAATGCTAATCAACGTTCAGGTAGAGCTGGTCGTACTGGTCCAGGTAGATGTTATCGTCTTTATACCGAATCTGCTTACAAACACGAGCTAATGGATAACAACATACCCGAAATTCAACGTACCAATCTCAGCAATGTAGTATTAAATTTAAAATCAATGGGTATCGAAAATTTATTAGATTTTGATTTTATGGACCCACCTCCACAAGATAATATTTTAAATTCAATGTATCAACTTTGGGTTTTAGGTGCATTGGATGACTCTGGCAAAATCACAGAACTAGGTCAAAAGATGGCAGAGTTTCCATTAGATCCCCCACTTTCTAAAATGGTTATTATAGGGGAAAAATTAGGATGTGCTGATGATATTGTAACTGTTGTTTCCATGCTTTCTATTCCATCAGTTTTCTATAGACCAAAAGGTGCCGAAGAGGAGAGTGATGCATCAAGAGAGAAGTTTTTCGTACCAGAAAGTGATCATTTAACATTACTTCACATTTATCAACAATGGAAAATAAATCAATTCTCATCACAATGGTGTGCAGAACATTTTATTCATGTCAAAGCTATGCGTAAAGTTAGAGAAATTCGTGGTCAACTTTTAGATATTATGAAGCAACACCACATGAAAATCGAATCGTGTGGTAGTAACTGGGATCTTATTAGAAAGGCCATTACCTCATCCTATTTCCATCACTCTGCTAAAATTAAAGGTATTGGTGAATATGTTAATATGAGAAATGGTATGCCATGCTTCCTTCATCCAACTAGTGCGCTCTATGGTTTAGGCTATGCCCCAGACTACATTGTTTATCACGAATTGGTTATGACATCTAAAGAATATATGCAAGTCGTTACAGCAGTAGATGCCCAATGGTTAGCAGAAATGGGTCCAATGTTTTTCTCAATTAAAAAATCACTTAAAGATAAAAAAAGAAAATTGGATAAAATAGAGGATAAAATAGAGGATATAAATGAAAAAGATAAGGATAAAGATGAAAACGATAATCAAAAAGAAATTTTAGAAAATCCAATTAAAAAAATAGGAAATAAATTATTATCAACCTCGACATCAGTGGTTACCTCTTCAAATAATAGCAACTCTACAAATAAATCAAAAGAAAAAACTACGAGTAATAATCCGAGAAAAACTAAAAGATTTGGTTTATAATAATAGCAACTTTAAATTATAATAATTCAATAATAATAAATTAAATTATTCATTATTTTATGAATTAGAAAAAAAAAAAAAAGAAAAAGAGAACTCTATAAATATAATTATAATTTATTTTAATAATTTTTTTTTTATACATTAATATATCATGATGACGTTATTTAATTTTATTTCTAACTATTTTTATTATGTGTTTTAATTAATAAAATTATTTTTTAATTATTTTTTAATTTAATATTGATTTTAAATTTTATTAAATTATAATTTGTAAAGAATTTTAATTAAAATTTTGACTTGTTATACAACTACAAATTAATAATTAAATATTTTAAAAAAAAATAATTTTAATAATATAAACATCAATAATTTTGGTATAACCCAAAATACTTTAATTTTTTTTCCCCAAAAAAAAATCATTTATTTTTATCTGTTAATTTATTTTAATTTTAAATTGAATTTTTTAATGTTAACAATAGAACAGATCACATAGGGGGAAATATTAGTAAAATAATGAAAATCCTTTTTTTATCTATTATAAATTTGGTGCTATTTTAATTTTAAAATAAAGTGTGTATGTACATAGAAAATAGTAAAATCAAAAAATAAAATACTTTAATGCACAATTTTGTTGATTTGATTATAAAAAAAAAAAGAATTTAAAAAAATTTATATAAATTTAAATATAATATAAATTAGATATATAAAAAAAAGTTTGATTGTTTAGGGGGGTCTGAAATATTCATTTATAAAGCTTGAAAAATTTATTGTTAATATATTTATGTAGTATAAACTAAACATGCACATAATATTTTTTGCCTCATTTTAAACCCCCTCACATTCAATAACTATCTCTTTTTTAATCTGAAAAAAAATTTTATTTTAAAAAATAATAGGAAAATTCAATACCACCCACCAACACCATCCACCACATATTTATTAAATTTTTATTTTAATCATCATGTGTAAATTTAAAACATTAATTTTTTTTTCAAAGATATTACTTTAATTAGAAAAAATTATTGAAAGTTAAATCTATTCTTTATAAATAAATTCTAAAGATACAAAATGGTGTGGTTCACCTAATTGGTATAGATGTAATACTTCCAAATATAACCATAATTGTTATAGTTCCAATATCATTATGAATTAATTATTATAAATCATTTATTAATTAATAAATAAAATAAAAAAAAACTATTTTTAATATATTAAAAAAAATTATTTATAAATAGTTTTTTTTTATTTTAAAAATCATGTTTATTTGATTAAAATTTCCTTTTATAAAAAACACATTAATATAATAATAATTAATATTTAAAAATTTTTAATTATCCTCTTTAATTAAAAAAAAAAAAAAAAAAAGGTTTAAAATACAAAAAATGATTAAATTTTATTTTATTATAGTTATTTTATTACTGTTAAATAACCTTATTGTGGTTTATGCTAAAGTTCGTCAACCATTCCCTGGAAATGGTGTTTTAACTATTACAAAGAACGGTGGTATTGAAGATACAAATGAAATAGTGCAAGTTGATTTACACTCTTTCCAAACATTGATTGTAAATAGAAAACTCTTACCAATGGATATCAAAGCTATCAAAGACATATACAATGACGCAATTTTTAAAATACTACCAGGCCACACCAATTTTACATTACAAGAACCACAATTCTACGAGTACTTATATTATGTATCAATACCAACCCCATTATTAAACTATCAACAAAAAACAATTTTATGGAATTCAAATTCTAAAAAACCAAGTTTTTTTTATGAATTAGAAAGAATAGTTTTTGAATATGGTGTAAGAATTGTTTAATAAAACTTGTAATATAAAAAAAAACAATATTTATTTTTTTTAAAAAAAAAAAAAAGAAACTTGTATTATAAAAATAAAAATTTAAGTAAAAATAAAAAAGATTAAATAAAAAGATAAAAGTTTTATATTTTTTTTTTAAATTATTTACAAATAAAATTTTATTAAAATATTATTATTTATTATTGTTGTTTTATTATTGTTTTTATTATTATTGTAGATTTGATGCATGCTTATCATTTATTACAGAAAAGCAAAATAAATCTTCCTCTTCATCGCTACTAAAATCGTCCAATCTGTCATTTGAAACTATATCTACAAAATCATTTTCTTTTTGATTGAGTTCATCAATTTCTTGTTGGCACTTTTGTCTCTTAATTCTTTTTACTTTAGGCTGACCATTTTCGTCTACACCCTCTTCTTCTATTGGTTCATCTTCTTCTTTGATATCAAATTCATCCTCTTTTTCAACATACTCCAAATTCTCCTCCAACTCTTGAAAATCTGGCGCAAATGAACTCCAATTCTCTTCAAAATATGCGGTCCAAACATAAATGATACCTGTAAAACTGATGCTAACGATTAATGGTCTAAGTGGGTGCCATATAGCATCATTGAATCCCTCCTTTGGACCCTCTAAATCCTTAACCAAACCACCACTTACACTCCATATAAATAGTGTATTGATTGACTTGTGATTAATACCTGCTAAAATATATTCGTTATTACTACTGAAACAACATTTCTTCCATTGCATTCTATTTACACTGTCTTGATATTCCCTAACCAATTGATAATTATTCTCTAATGAAAATAACCTTAATATTTTATCTGTTGAATTCACCAACATATATCTATGATTTCTACTAAATTCGATTTGCTTAATTGTTAAATTACTTGAATTTGCAATCTTAAAGGTTTTCTCTATCTTCATTGAACTATAATCTATAACTGTAATCATACTTGCTGTATCACCTATAATAATTTTTAAACCTTTTCTATTAAATGATGCATAACTTGCTTCACCTTTTGTATTGGTTATAATCCTTTCATCTTCTTTTTCTAATGTCTTATAATTTAATACCTTGGTTTTCATGCTTTTAAAATCTAATAATAATGGATCTGTTTTATTCTGAACAATTAAACATACATTGCTAAAATAAGTTATATTAATATATCTTCTTTTAAAAGTAATATAAAGTGATATAAGCTATATACCTACTTATCTCTTGGGTGAAATTGTGCAAATATAATGGGTGACTCTAATTCTAAATGTTTTTCTATTTTAGCACTGGGTAAATCCCAAAGTACCAATGATCCATCATAACTACTCGTTAATAATTTTCTACCGTTCCTTGACCATCTATTTAATGTTTAAAAAATGAATTAATATTTTTGCAATTCTGTAATAACTCTATACTATAATACTTACCCTATTGATGTAATGTACTGTTTATGAAAATATAAAGTTCTAACTATTCTCCTGGTATCAAAATCCCATATAGATATAGTTCCATTACCACATCCCACTGCTAATAATGTTCCTCTTCTATTAAATTGTGCAACACTTGATTTCATACCGGAGGGATCTACTAAATAATACTCGACCGCTTCTGGTACATCGGCCTGTTTAAATGGATCTATTAAACTTAAATTCATCCTATTAACAACGAAAAATATTAAATGAAAAATTTAAAAAAATTTAAAAAAATATAAAAAAATTTTTTTAAAAAAAATAAAAATAAAAAAATAAAAAAAAACTAAAAATTATAATAACCTAAATTAGAAAAGGATATTTTTAACTTCACAAAAATATAAATTAAAAAAAAAAAAAGATAATGAATATTTTAAAAGTACAATTATATTATTTTTATTGTTGATTATGTTTTTTTTTGTGTTTTGTTTTGATCTATTATTAAGTCTCCTTCTATATATTGTGTGTAATAATAAATTCACATCCATTAATTATCTTGAATTTGTGGTGGTGTAGTTAAATTATTTTTTGTGAAAATTGCAACAATTTTGTTTATTTCTTCGACCCATATTTTTCTTTCTTCCATTGATGGTGCAATTAAATCAATAGAATAGGCATCGGGTACTAAAACTGTGAATTTTGGATCTGTTAAATCTTGAATAATTTTAACTTTAGCATCTAAAGTGTATCTGGCGAGGAATTTGAAATTGATATCTAAATTGCTGCTATGGAACTCGTAAACTGGTGCACTTGGGGCACTGTTAGCACCATTCATCATTGAGGTGAATGAAGTTTCTGCCATCATACTATTGAATGTTGGATTGCTGTCTCTTAAAACTGGTGATGTTGGGGTTGGTGATCTGTTGCTACCATTGGCACCATCTGCAACCTTATCAGCGGAATTCTTATCACTTGTTGCTAATAATGATTTCTTTACTTTCTTTGAATGTGTTGGATGGACAACAACTACCATATCATTGAAGAGGAATGCATACTCTTGATTCTTTTTAAATTTGATTGGGCCCTCTCTAATTAAAATTCTAGAGTGTGAAGTGATGTCATCTTTATAGTTTAATAATCTATCCTCCAATTGAAGTACCATCTTTCTAGCACCACTCTTTTTATTTACACTAGCAGCAAAGTGTTTGAATGCCTCCAATGCTTTATCAATTGAATTAAAATCGTTGTGGTAAAGTGGTGTATATTTTCTGATCTCTTTTAACAACATAATATAACGTGGAACTCTTTGTACTGGCATAATTAAAAGATCTTCAAGGTCTAAATCATCCAATTCTTTTCTTGAATTACCTTGCTTTACAAAATTGGCAAAGCTTGAAAAACTAGAAATAGCCCTCTTAAGGTTCTTTAAGGCATATTCGTAGTTTATAATATAGTCGACATAACAATCAAATAATGGTACCTATAAATAAGATTTTTTTAAAAATTAATATTTGGAAAAAAAAATAGAGGGTTTTTATAAAAATAAAAAAACTTACTAATTTTAATAACTTATCACCAAAACATGACCATCTATTAAATTTCTTAAATATTTCATCGACTTGATCTAAAAAGAAAGAATTTGATTTATAAATTGATGTGATATTTGAGAAAATAGAATCAAATTCGTCAGTTGGTAAAATGGAATCACCTTTTTTAGCTTTTAATGGATGAACAAAAACTTTGATTAAATTGGATAAATGAGTGACATAGGTAGATTCAGTTTCATATAATTCTTCGACAATAGCTCTCTTTGTTCTTAATTTCTTGTATCTCTTTCTAGCTAACCATTTACGAACTAATGACTGAACCAATGTGATCTTTTCGACATCTTCTTTACTTGAGTAACTGGCACAAGCAAGACTAGTAAGATTAGCACGTGAAGCTGATGAAGTTAATGAATTAATTGAAGTATTAGAAACAGATAATCTTATTGAGCCATTACCGCCACCGATGCTGCCATTGCTGCTATTGCTTGTTACAAGGTTTGATTGTGGACGCTCTGATGATGTAGTAAGTGTATTTCCATTACCGTCGGTGCTTATTGGTGCATTAATTAATGATGATGATGAGTGATAGGTATTATTTAATTTATGTAACAATTGGTCACCATTGAACTCTGTGAAACTGTTACTTGCACTGTTACTAATTGAAGCCGAGGTCAATTCGTCTGCAAATGATGGAGATGCTGAAATTGAAGAGTCAATGTTATTTAAATCTTCAATAATAGATGCAATATCGATATTATGATCAAATTTAACTGTACTTAGAAGCTTTCTAGTTTGTAATTTTGTTGTACCGATAGTTCTGTTAATTCTTCTTCTTTCTGAAAATAACTCTGTCTCTAATCTATTGACTTGCTCTATTAACGATTGATTCTCCTTATCTTTTTGGATGATTAGTCCCTCCAATGTTTCACATTTTACTCTTTCTAAACCTAATTGCTTGCTGATTAAAAAGTATAGTTGTTTCCATTCTTGGTTTGTTTTTGGTGATGATGGCTCCTCTTCTAACTCTGAAGCTCTTGTGAATGCATCTGTGATATTTTTAACCAATTTGTTTGCATTATTTGATGCCAATTTTAAAGTGGTTGTGGTAGTGGTTGTGGTGGTTTTGGTGGTCTTATTACTATTATTACAATTTTCTGAAGATTCTGATGGCTGTGTTTGTGATGATACTGAGCCCTTTTGCCTATTTAATTCATTGTCAATAGATGCTGATAATGATGATTGCAATTCTTTTTTGGTAATTATTTCTTGATCTGTTTTTTTATCATCGCTCTCTTCTAAAATAACATCTGGTGTGGTAGAAATTAATTCAGAACTTGATTGCTCTTGAATGACATCTGGTTGCTGTTCTATTATAATATTATCATTACTGATCTCTTTATTAATATCACTTGACTCTACTGATACAGTTGTTAATACTGGTGTTGTGCTCTCTTCTTTTGGAACTTGGCCGCTACCTTTGTTATTATTATTTTTTTTATTTCTATTATTTTTTTTTGGTCCCATATTTTTAATTTATATAAATTAAAAACTATTTTATTTTACAATTTAAAAAAATAATATAAAAAAATAATTAATAATTAGAATAAAAAATAAATAGTTATTACAAATAAAAAAAAAAAAAAAAACTATATTAAATTATTATAAAATGCAAAAAAAAAAAAAAAAAAAAAAAAAGAAAAATTGATATTATGAGAGATTATTATTATAATATGAAACAAAATTCGAAAAAAATAAAATAAAAAATAAAAAAAAAGAAAAAAAAGTTTTTGAGTTATTTTATTTTTAAATTATTTAAAATTATTTAAAATTATTTTTTTTTGAAAAAAAGTTAAAACTTAATTATATATATATAATAATAAAAAAATAATAATAATAATAATTTATATCAATTAAATAAATTTAAAAAATTTATTGTATTCTCTTTTCTTTTTTTTTTTATTTTTTTTTTATTTGTTTTTTTGTATATTATAATAATTGTGATATTTTGGTTTATAAATATAATAAAATAATAATCTTATTTCCTGATCCCAAACAAAATAATATTATTTTTAATAATTTGTGTGTTTTTACCACATTTATCAACACATCCCACAAAAAAAAAAAAAAATTTAAAAAAATAAATAAAAAACAAATGAATTTTACACACAATATATTAATAATTATAAAATGAATATATTTTAGATGAGATCTTACCAATAAGAAATTTTTAAGTATAGTAATGAAAATAAATAAATTTATATTTATATAATATTCCCAGATGTTTATGGAAATACTATGTGTCCTTGAACTTCGAAGGAAAATTGCACAAACCAAATGTAAAAAATTAAAAAAAAATTTTAAAAATATTTAAAAATAAAAAAAAATGAAAAAAAAAAAAAAAAAAATTGAAAAATTTAAAAAATATTTTTTTTTTTTTTTTTTTTTTTTTTAAATAATACGATAATTAATATTATTTAGAAAATATTTATAAAAATGACTATTTTTGATTCAGACGAAGAAGAATTAGTAACTAGAATTGAAGATTTCGAACCACCAGTTCAAATCGATTCATCATTTGCTAGATATATTGTTGTCGATAATATTCCAGTTGCACCAGAAGCCAAACACGATAGATTAAAAGCTATTTTATTAAAAATTTATCAATCACGTGGTGGTAAAATTGCACCAAATGGTATTACTTTAGTTTTAGACGCTCAAAAAAATACCAAAGGGTAAATATCATTTAAAATTATAGATTATCAACCAAATTCTATAAATAAATAAAAAAATAATAATAAAAAAAACAATAGATTATAAATTAACTCCTCAATAGCTTTAATAATTTATATTAACATTATATTTTGTTTTATTTTAGTTTTGCATTTATTGAATATACTGAAAAAGATTCTGAAAAAGATTCTGAAAAAGATTCAGCTGTAGATTCAGCTGCAATTGCAGCTGCAGATGCAGTTATTTCATTAAACAACTATCCATTAGATAAAGCACATACATTAAAAGTTAATTTATTAGAGGATTTCAAGAAGTTTTCAAATTTCAATGAAGGTTATAAACCACCAGCTAAAGAAGAATTCAAACCAAAACCAAATTACAATCAATGGTTATCAGACCCACGTGCATTAAAAGGTTATGATCAATTTGTAACCCGTTATGGTGATTATACAGATATTTGTTGGAATGAAATGCATCTTGGTAAACCAGGTGTCGAAAAATCATCAGTTGGTTTAACCTCATCATATGTTCAATGGTCAAATACTGGTAGTTATTTAGTTACATTCCACCCAGATGGTATTGCTCTCTATGGTGGTAAAGATTGGGTTCAAGTTAATCTCTTTCAACACCGTGGTGTCCAATTAGTTGATTTCTCACCAGAAGATAAATACCTCGTTACTTTTGCCCCAGTTGCCACCGATAATCCAAAAGATCCAAAATCCATCACTGTCTGGGATGTTCGTTCAGGTAAAAAATTACGTTCCTTCCTTGCCCCACCAAAAGAATCATTCACATGGCCAGCTTTCCAATGGTCTGCTAAAGATAAATACATTGCTCGTCTCAGTGAAGAAAAAACCATCAATATTTATGAAACTCCATCAATGAACCTTTTAGATAATCAAGCATTTTCAGTTCCAAACCTTAAAATTAAAGATTTCTCATGGTCACCAACCGATCTTTCATTAGTTTACTTTATTCCAGCCGCTGATACCTTACCAGCCAAAATTACTTTAATTGAAATGCCAACCAAAAAAATTTTAGCCGAAAAGAATATTTGGGATGCTATCGATGCTCGTTTCCATTGGCAAAACGAAGGCGCTTTCCTCTGTGTCAAAACCGACAAGAACGTCACCACCAAAAAGAAAGAAAAAACTCCAACCACCCAATTCGAATTATTCCGTACTCAAGAACCAAACGTCCCAATCGAATCATTCGAAGTCAATTACCAAATCAAAGCCTTCTCATGGGAACCAAGAGGTAAAAAAATTTGTATTATTCATGGTGAATTTAAATTAAATATGTTTGTTTCATTCTTTGAAATTCAAAAACAAAGTATCAAATTAATGGCAAAACTTGAAAACCGTAAATTAAATACAATCTTTTGGTCACCACGTGGTACTTTCCTTTTATTAGCTAACCTCGGTGATACTGGTGAATTAGAATTCTACAATACTCAAGACTACGAATCATTCGGTACCCAAGAACACCTTCAATGCACTGGTGTCGATTGGAATCCATCTGGTCGTTATGTTACCACCTACGTTTCACATTGGAAAGTCCAAACCGATACTGGTTTCAATATTTGGTCATTCAGCGGTGATTTAGTTTACAGTGTACTCAAAGATCGTTTCTACCAATTCAACTGGCGTCCAAGACCAAAATTCATGCTTTCAACCAAACAAATGAATTCCATCAAAACCAACTACAAGAAATACCAAGAAAAATTCGACAAATCAGACGATGATGATAACAAGAGAATTCAACACATTGAACAACAACGTCTTGAAAATCTTATGAAAGAGTTTTTATCATATCTTCAAAAAGGTGAAGCCGAATATCAAGCTCATGAAGCCGATCGTAAGAAATTAGGTTGTTATGAAGATATCGATAAGAATGATGTCTACGAAGCTGTTGAAACTATCGAAGAACTCATCGATGTTCAAACTATTGTACTCAGAAAAACTAACTAAAATAAACATATAGTAATATAGTATAAAAAAAAAAAAAAAAAAAAAAAAAAAAACAAATACAAATAATAATTTTTTTATTAATAACAATATTAATATAATATAATAACCATCAATTTTAAAATTTATTTTGAGAAAGAAATAAATTATATAATATATAAAATAAACAATATCTATCTAAAATCTTTTTTTTTTTTATTTTTAATTTATTTTATTTTTAATTTATTTTATTTATTTATTTATTAATCATAATACTTTCTAAATACTATAACATCTTTGTGTATATCATTCGATATTAAAGATTTTTCAATTAATCCCACCTTTAGCTTTAATAATGATTTTGGTAAATTTTTTCTTTCGAGTGGTTTCTTAAATTCGTCATAAAGATTTAGTGAGGTTATAGAGTCGGGAAGCATCGGGGAATCTAAAGCTTGGTTAAAGTTGATCATTTTTAAATTTAAAACATTATTTGGTATTGTGTTTTTTGATAGTTTATAACAATTATTGCTTTGTATTGGTATCGAGTCTCTCGAAAAATAAATGATGAGTTTGGAAACACTATTTGGTATTGCATAGTCTTCTATTCTATATTTCTTTAGTGGGTATCGAATTAAAAGAGTTGTAACGTTAGATGGAATTAGATCTTGTGTTATATCTTGATTAATGAGGGGGAGGTATAGTTTGGTTGTACTGTTAGGGAAACAGTTGGGTTCAATGATATTGTATTGGTTTTTTTCTAGAGGTGAATGTATCGATTGGATTTTAATTGTTTTTAGATTTTCTAATTCTGATAAATTAAATCTATTACAATCAAATAATCCGTCAAATGTGAAACCAGTAAGGCTATTTGGTAGTTTTAGGGAGTGATTGTACTTTTTTAGTTTTAGCCGTAAAAGGTTTGATGGTAATACTCCATCTTTAATTGGTTCTCTAAAACAACCGGCTAAAAAAGTAAGGGATTGAGGTAATAGCCCAACAGGTAATTCATGTATATAGCCATCAAGATGAAGTAAGTCGAGGGAAACTAGGGTGTTTGGGAAAATATTTTGTTTAAATGGTTGTTTAAAAAGTCCATAAATGGTTAGTCTCTTTAGATTTGATGGTAATGCATTGATTTCCGAGTTAAAGTGGTATGATAAAGAGAGATTGGTGATGCTATTTGGTAGAGAGGTTTCATTTAGGGGTTGGTTAAAGTTAACACCAAAAAAGAGTTCGGTAATAGTTTCTGGAATAGTGTCTTTTAATAGGAGGCCATTGAATAGATAACCAAACTTTAATGAGTCTATTGATTTGCTACTTGAAAGCCAATTTGGTGGAATTGTTGGTTGATTAAACATAAGAGAGAAAAAAAGTTTTTTTAGATTTGGTGGAAGATTAAGCTTTAAACAATCTTGGTTATAATATTCACCCAGGTGTAGCACTGTTATGCTATCTGGTAGTACACCTCTTTCTATCTCCCTATTAAAATGTTGACCCAGTATTAAAGTCTCTAGACCTAACGGAAGAACACCTACATTAATTGTTTGATTAAAGTAATAAGATAGCTCTAAACTCTTTAGTGAAGTTGGTAAACTATTTTGTGCAAGTTCTTGATTAAATCGAAAAGAAAACTTTAAAAATGTAATACTATTTGGTAATGATGATGGAATGATTTCTTGGTTAAAATCTCTACCCAATTCTAAAAATCTTAAAGAATTAGGTAAATCACCAACTTTTATTGTTTTATTGAATTTTTGTGTTGTTAATCTCGTAAGTGAATCTGGTAGTACACCTGGTTGAAATTCTTCATTATAGGTATCTAATTCTAAATTTGTAATAAAATTTGGTATTATTGAAATGTTTTTTAATAGTGGATCATTTGATTGAATAAATAATGATTGATTATACTTTGATAGTATTAAATGCTTTGTGTTTGAGGTTATTATGTAATCTAAATTTCTATCTAATGGTTGATTAAAATTTAATAACATTAAATGATCAACTGATTCTGAAATTTTAATTATATTATTATTATTTAATATTTTACTATCATCTTTATTAATGTTTGTATTATCTATATTATCTATATTATCTATATTGTTATCTATAGTATTATCACTATTATCATTTGCATTATTGCTACTATTTATTATTGGAATATGTTTTAATGATAGTTTTGTTATATAATGTTTGTATCTATACGATGTATAATCTGAATAGTTAAATTTAATATAGTAATTTTCTTGTATTGATACATTATGATTGAGCCTATAAAATAGTTTGTACTTTTCAAGTTCTTGGAGGATATAATTCTTTAAATAATTATTTCTCCAAATTTTATCAAGAAATAAAAAACTATTATCATTCATTGTGGTTTTTTAAAAAAAATAAATTAAAGAAATTAAAAAAAAAATTTTATTTAAATTTTTTTTTTATTTTTTTAATTTTTAATTTTTTTCTTTTTCTTTTTCTATTAAGAAGATATTATTTCTTCGCTGAATTCCAAGTTATTCAAAGCAATGCTATCAAGAGTAACCAATAAAATATTTAAAAGGCTCAAATAAAATTTTCACAAGTTATAGGGGTTATTAAATTTTTCAAAATTTTTGCATCGACGGCCAACCAGACTCTGTTTTTTTAAAAAAGCACTGGCATCCTTGGTAGAGTCTGGGACTTTATTACTGAATACAAACAAATATTACCAAATCAAAATAACTACAGCCTCTATTATTAATAATAACTATAATAATAATAACAAAAATTTAAAGCAATAAACACAGATTTATTTATTTTTTTAAAAAAAAAAAAATTATAAAGTTAAAAAATTAAATTTAATTTATTAGTTTTTTTGGTTACTATCTTTTATAGTATTCAATTCGATACATGTCTCGTTATATCCACTCGAATGACTACTATTTACACCACTACTGTTATTATTGCTTTCTAAACTAAGGGTGCAACTACTATTTTCAATATTATTATTATCATCATTATTATTTAAATTGTTTTGTGATGAGTTAAAAAATAAACTATTAGCTCTAGATATATTTTTTGTACTGTTTATATTACTATGGAAAGATTCATCTTTGGGGAGTTCTAAAGTGGTTTCTCTAACAACTTTTCTAAAAGTTAAATATTTTTTCCAACAGCTATTGTTATCATCGGAAGCATTGGCCAAAGCAGACATGACCAGAAGAATTTGAGGTATTTCTAAGAGGTATGTTATAAAAATGAAAATATAGTTGTTATTTGAATTTTCAGGTATTTTTAAACCTGCAACCACTATATTTCTTATAATTAGGCCAGAAACTATAACAAGTAAAATAATTGCCAATTTCTTTGTTCTTCCCAAAGATTTTCTGAATGTGTTTGATTTGGAGTCTTGCTTTTTTAAAAATCTTATTAAAACAAATCCATTTACTAAAATAAAAGTACCTATTAAAGAAACCATAATAATAAAACCATTTGAACTAATGGATTTGGTTTTCTTTGGGCCCAACTCCTTCAGCACGATCATTAATGAAAAAGGCCATAAGAAACTTATAATCGATACAATATTGGCCATGATTAAAGTTCTTTTAATATTGTTAAATGCAATTTTATCCGATATAAAGAAGGTATATAAAATAGACATCCAATATAAACCAATATAAATCCATTCAGTACATAAAAAACTTGTTCCAATCATTCCAAAATACCAACTTACTGAACCTGTATTAGTATTTTTGAGTCCTATACCAATAAAACTATTTAATGCCCTAACTAAATTAAAAAATGGGTTAATATATATTTTTTTTGATTTTTATATTTAAAATAAAATACAAACAGAGCGGGAAAAATGTAATTGATATAAATGTAAATAATCTTGGTGAAAATAATTTCTTTTTCTTTTTTTTTAAAAAATTATATTCATAATAACATTGAGGTAAATTTAACATAAAAAATATAAAACAAGTTACACCTCTAAATATATAAAATGAAATAACCAATCTATCATAATTTTTATCACCTGTAAATGGATATTCTCTTTCAAAGTCGTTCTCCATTTATAAAAAATTTTGCTATAAATAAAGATAAGAATATTATTACAAATACTATTTTTACAATTTTTTATAAATCTAAAAGAAAAAATAAAGAAAATTAGAAAAAAAAAAAACTCTTATATATTTCAAAAATACTTTTTTTTTCTCGGACAATTAGGATTTTTGTTTTGATTACAATATTCAATACTAATGGGTTGAACAAACTATAAAAATCTTAAAAAAAAATCTTTCGATATTTTTTTTTTTAGATTTATAAAAAAAAAAAAAAATTTTTGGGTTGAAAGGAACTAATTTTAGATTTTTGATTTTTAAAAGAAAAGTTTTTAAAAAAAAAAAAAAAAAAAAATATCTTAACATTATTGTATATGTTAATATATTATCACTATTGGGCTTATATAATATCAAATAGTATTATAGATATACAAAAGAAGAGTTTAATTTTAATTATGATAATAAAAATAAAATGGGTTATATAAATTTTATTATATTTATATTTTAAATTTTTTTATTTCTCTTTTTTTTTTTTTATTAATTGATTTTATATATTTTTTTATTAAAAAAAATTATAGTTTAAGTTTGTTTTTTTTTTTTTTTTTTTTTTTTTTTTTTTAAATATATTAAAATGATGAATTTAAATAATTTTTGTGTTTTTATAATAAATTACAAGATGATTTCTTTTTTTTGATTGGTTGATCGGTATTGCTTTCAGAGGCGGTATGTTGATTTGATTGACGAGCTTTTTTAACTTCTCTAACCAATTCATAGAAAGCTTCAGTTACGTTAATTCTTTCTTTGGCGGAGGTTTCTAAAAATTTGCAATTGAGTTTTTTTGCTAACTCTTCACCTTCGGCGGTACTAACTTCACGATATTCATTGAGATCGCATTTGTTTCCTACTAATACGAATGGAACAGAGTCGAGATCTTTAACCTTTAAGAGATGGTTGTGTAAACGATGAATTTCTTTGAAACTTTGTAAATATGTAATAGAGTATACACAGAGGAAACCCTCACCTGTACGCATGTATTGATCTCTGACTGCACTGAAATCTTCTTGACCTGCTGTGTCGTAGATATCTAAAAGACACTCCTCTCCATCCACTGTGGTTTGTTTTCTATAACTGTCTTCTAATGTTGGGTCATATTCATCTACAAATTTTTGAGCGATAAATTGAATAGTTAAACATGATTTACCAACACCTCCTGGTCCTACTAATACTAATTTAAAATTAAACATTTCTATATATGTTCTTTTTTATATATATTTATATATTACAAAATTCTAAAATGTTAAAAATGTTTCATATGATGAGGTTGATAAAAATTTATATTTGATTATTATTAGAATTGATAATTGATAGTTGGTTGAGGTTTGAAAGTTTTTTTTTTTTTTTTGAATGAAAAAGAGAAATTTAAATTAGTATTTGCTTTTTTTTTTTTTTTTTTGTTTTTTTTTAAATCAAAATGTAAAAATAAAATATCTATAATATTTACAATTTTTTATATTATACAGGTATGATGAAAATAAAAAATAAAAAAAAGAGCAAATGCTATGAAAAAAATATAATAATATAAACTATTATTATTGATTGCGCAAAATAAAAACTAATGCTATAATATGTGCACTTTGTGTTTTATATATAAAATAGTTTAAAAATTATATAGTAAATGTAAAAAATGCTATATAATATCTAATCTATAAATATTTTTTGACAATAACAATTGTAATATAATAATATATATATATTATGTTTGTTTATAAACCAAAGATATTAAATAACACACCACAAATGTCACAACTTTTTTAATATTATAAAATTTAAAAAAAAATAAAAATAAAAATAAAAAAAAAAATTTTAAAATTTTTAAAAAAAAATTTTTTTTTAAAAAAATAAAAATTTTTATAAAAAAAAATTAAAATTTTTTTTTTTTTTTTTTTTTTTTTTTTTTAGCAAATAATTACCAATTTAATTTTTTAAATAAATAAATTTAAAATAATTTAATTCATTTAAATTAGTGATTAAATGTAATCTTAATTTTAGAGATATTTAAGAACTGTTTGGTTTTTTTTTTCATCAACTAACTGACTAATCTGATGGTGATGTTTTTTTTTTTTTTTTTTTTTGCTCATCTAGATTAAATTTTAGATAAAACAATGAATAGAAACAAAAAATAAGATAGGTTTGCAAAATGTAAAGTAATTTCTAAAAAAAAAAAAATTTTGTTTATTTATTTAATTTTTTTATTTGTTTTAACCTAAAAGGATTACTAGTATACATGTGATTGAACAACTCTTTATTTTCTTTTTGAAAATACTGAATTAATATTGAAGATTTAAAAATAAATAATATTGTATATATGAAAAGTTATTATTTTTTTTTTTTTTTTTTTTCTGATTATTATTATATTATTATATTGTTATTGTTATTATTATTATTATTATATTATATTATTATTATATATTATTATATTAAATTATATTGAATTAATGAACTTTATTTGAGGGGATTAAACCAGCATTTAAAAGTGGTTGTTCATTTGAGTCATCCATAGCATTTCCTAAAGCCCAATCAGCAGAATCGAAAAATTTACGACCGTGGAGTCTTTGGTTAATTAATGATTTCTTTTGTAAACCAGAGTATCTTGGGTTGGCTGGTGGTGGTGTTAAATGATTGTTGTGATTATTTGAAACGTTAATTGTACCATTGCCATTAATATTGGTATTATTTGAAGTTTTGTTTAATTGTGACATTTTATATATAGTTTTATATAAATATAGAGTATATTATTAAAGTAATGTTGTTTTTAAAAAATGAAAAGTTTTTTTTTTTATACTTTGAAATTATTATAAAAATTAATATTATTGTATTTATTAAATGTTATACAAAGCTAAATTAAATTTAAAAAAAAATTATATTAATATT